CTACATTTTGTTTATCTGTTCATCAGTTGATGGATGTACAGATTGTTTTCACTTTTTGGTTATTATGAACAATGCTATGAACATTAGCATATAGATTTTTGTGCAAGTATATGTTTTCGATTCTTTGGGATATATACCTAGGAGTAAAATTTCTGGCTCATCTAGTAAGTGTATGTTTAACTTTCTGATATACTGCCAAACTGTTTTCCAAAGTAGCTCACTCTTTTACTATCCTACCAGTAATGTATGAAGGTTCCAATTTTTCCACATCTTTATCGACACTTGTTACTGTCTTTATTTTAATCATACTAATGAAAGTAAAATGGTATCTCACTGAGGTTTTGATTTGTAGATCTCTAATGATCCTCTTAAAAATGCATTTGAAGACACGTTTGCTAAATTTTTTCTAGTATTTTTAGGTGTTTTGCAGAAGAAGATTTTATCCCATCTATGTTATAATATTGCTGAAAAGAGAGTCCTACCTTTTCATCAGTTATTACATTTAGAATTGTGCTTACATGAAGAATATATTCAATGAATGCTTTCTAATTCATAAGCATCAAATAAAGCTATTCATGATCAGTTCAGCCAAATCCAATTCAATCATTCGTTCATCAATTCCACATTTATTAAGTACCTACTGTATATCTTATGCTATTCTAGGTACTCGAAATATACCAGTGAACAAGTCAGTCAATACTCCTGCCCTCTTAAAGCTTATATTTATTTCAATAGGGAAGACATATAGCCAAAAAAAGTATATAACTATGTAAGTAATAATTGTCAATTAAGATAAATAAATAGGGTGATGTCACTGAGATTAAAGAACAAAGAGAGAAATTGGAGGAACTACTTTAGGTAAGGCTAATAGGGACTGTATGAATGACAAAGTAACACTTGGGATGAGACCTGAAAATAAGAGAAGTCAAGTCCTTCAAAGAACTGGTAGGACGAGCATTACAGGCAGAGAAATTAGCTAAACACAAGCTATTTTAGTCCATCTATGTTCTATAAAGGAATATCTGAGGCTAGGTAATTCAGCTCATGGGTCTACAAGATGTACAAGAAGCATGACACCAGCATCTGCTTCTGGTGAGGGCCTCAGGGTGCTTCCACTCAAGGCAAAAGGCAAGGAGAGCAGGTTTGTGCAGAGGTCACATGGCAAGAGAGCCAAAGCATGAGAGAGAGGAGGAAGGGGTCAGGCTCTTTTTTTTTTTTTTTTTTTTCTGAGACAGAACCTCAAGTTGTCCCCCTGGGTAGAGTGCTATTGGCATCACAACTCACAGCAACCTCCAACTCCTGGGCTCAAGTGAGTCTCCTGTCTCAGCCTCCCAAGTAGCTGGGACCACAGGTGCCTGCCACAACGCCCAGCTATTTTTTGGTTGCAGCCATCATTGTTGTTTGGCAGGCCCGGGCTGGATTCGAATCTGCCACCTTAGGTGTATGTGGCTGGCGCCTTAGCCACTTGAGCCACAGGCGCCGAGCCGTGCCAAGGTCTTTTTAACAATCAGTGCTTATGAGCACTAACAGAACAAGAACTCATTCATTACCAGAAGGACAGCATGAAGCCATTCACAAGGGATCCACCTCCCACCAGGCCTAAACTCTAACCCTAAAGATCAAATTTCAACATGAGACTGGGTGGCACCAAACTAACTATATCTAAAACATAACAAAAGCTTAGTATAATCAATGATGAGAAATAAACCCCATGTGGCTGAAGCATACTGGGTAAGAGAGAATATATATAATGAGAAAGGTAAAGTAGAAAGAAATCAAATTATGCAGGTGTGGTAAGGTGAATAATGGCCCCTCAATGATGTCACTTCCCAATCCCCAGAACTGGTAAATTTAAGGTATTAAATAGCAATAGGGACCCTGCAATTTGGTTATGTGAAAGATTTTGAGATAGGAAAGCTAGATAATTAAGCTGCATTATCTAAGTAGGTCCAACGTAATCATTGGGTCCTTGGAAGATAAAGGCAGGTAATCAGAGTAACAGAAGGAGACAGAACAACAGGATCACATTCTGGAGTGATATGTCTGGAAGACAGAGGAAGGAGCCATGGAATACAAGCAGCCTCTAAAAGATAGAAAACATAAGTAAATGGATCTCTCCTTGAAGCCTCCAAAATAACTTTGACCTCAGCCCAGTGAAAATGACTTTGCACTTCTGGCGTCCAGAACTGTAAGCAAACAAATTTGTGTTCTTTGTACCACCAAACAACATTTGTTTTGTGCCACCAAACAACAACATTATAATTTGTTACAGAAAGCTTCAGGAAACTAAGAGATTTGGGTCTCTGTAAGTGGTATGCTGCTATAATAAATACCTAAAAATGCAGAAGTAACTTTGGAATCAGATGATGGATAAAACTTGAAGAACTTTGAGGAGCATAATCTAAAAAGCCTGAGTATCCTTGAGCAAACTTTTAGTAGAAATATGAGTGTTAATAAGTCTGCTAGTGAGGAATAAGAAGGAAATCAGATCTATGGTACAAGAAATCTTTTATAATCTTTACCTAAATCAGGGGAGCCCAACCTGCAAGTGATGGGCCACATGCTGATTTTGTGAATTTTTTGCTTATCTATGGTGTTGGATACCACAAAAATTATGCATGGACCTTTTTTTTGTTTATCAACTTTCATTAGTGTTTGTGTATTTAACGTGTGGCCCAAGACAGCTCTTATTCTTCCAATGCATAGAGAAGAAAAAAGGGTGGGCACCCTGATCTAAATCATCATAAACACACTACTGGTAGAAATTTGGAGGTTAAAGGCTGTGGGTAAAGGCTCAGAAGGAAATGAGGAACATGTTATTGGAAACTTGAGGGACAGGGATCCTTGTAATATAGCAGCAGAAAGCTCAGCTGAATTGTGCCCTACAGTTATACTGAAAACAGAACTTGTAAAAAAAGACCTTGGATATTTAACTGAAATTTCTAAGAAAAGCATTAATTGTGCAGCCTGATTACTTCATGCCACTTATAGTAAAATGTGAGAGAAAGATAAATTGGGGGGGTAGAGTGTTTCACTCAGTTGCTCTGGGGTAGAGCACCCTGGCATCATAGCTCACAGCAACCTCACACTCTTGAGCTCAAGTGATTCTCTGGCCTTAGCCTCCAGAGTAGTCAAGACTACAGGTGCCTGCCACAACACCTGGCTATTTTTTTTTTTTTAGAGCGGGGTCTCACTCTTGCTCAGGCTGATCTCGAACTCCTAATCTCAGGCTCCACCTACCTCGGCCTCCCAGAGGGCTAGGATTACAGGCATGAGCCACTGCACCTGGCCAAGGGGGGAAACTTTTAAGCAAAAAGAAAATACGACTAAATGATGCTACAGTCAGGAAGATTCACTGTTAAGAAAGCATGCTCTAGAATGAAAGTTAAGGGCGTGGCTCCGTCATATTTTGCTAGTGCCTCCAAATGAACAAAAGGTCATAGTATTCACCAACACAGAAGACTTTCGGAAAAGATTAGAACGTGACTCATGGATCCCCTCAGCTATTTCTGCAGAAGCCAAAAATAGAGATAGGAGTACCTAGGAAAAACCTGTGAAGGAGTCTCTGGTCTAATGGAATGAATCTCTGCTCACAAGGATTTTAAGAATGTTAGACTAGCTTGGACTGAAAAGGACAAGAGAGAATGAGGGGAAAGAAAGCTTTTCCTGAACAGGAATGGAAATAGAAATAAAGAATAGCAACTACAGCCATAATAAAAAGGTGTATTAAGATCACTATCTATGCTTATCTGCACTATTTTCTCCATTGCAGCTTGTCTGCTCCCATGGTAGCTACAAAAGACCTTCTGCACATTTTGTTACCTTCCTTCCAGCTGTCTCTATTCATGTCTTGATTCTTTTTTTTTTTTTTTTTTT